CCCAGCCCCCAGGCCTTAGGTTCCACACACCTGTCTTAAAGTGATCACAAAGATCAAGGTTCCCACCCTGGTCTGCCCTGAAGAAGTCTGTCCATGCATGTACACAGATACCCTACAGACCCCTCACATATGCTGTAGAGTAGACTGAGGGAGAGAGATTCTAGTTGATGAAGAAACATCCCATTCCGGAGCAAACACTGGAAGGAGATTGCCGTATGCTATGGATGTGCTGAGCACCGGAGAAGAACATAAGAATGGCCATACTGGGTCAGACCAAAGGTCCATCTAGCCCAGTATCCTGTCTGCCCACAGTGGCCAATGCCAGATGCCCCAGAGGGAGGGATCACAACAGGCAATCCTCATGTGATCCCTCCCCGTCACTCACCTCCAGGGAAACAGAGGCTAGGGACACCATTCCTACCCATCCTGGTTAATAGCCATTGATGGACCTAACCTCCATGAGACAATCTAGCTCTTTTTGGAACCCTGTTAGTTCTGGTCTTCACTGCATCCTCTGGCAAGGAGTTCCACAGGTTGACTGTGCACTGAGTGAAGAAAAACTTCCTTGTCTTTTTGTTTTAAACCTGCTGCCTATTAATTTCATTTGGTGACCCCTAGTTCTTAGATTGTGGGAATAAGTGAATAACTTTTCTTTATTCTCTTTTTTCATACCAGTCATGATTTTATAGACCTCTATCATATTCCCCCTTAGTATCCTCTTTTCTAAACTTCACAGGAGACCCCTTCCAAACACCTAATCATTTTTGTTGGCCTTTCCTGCACGTTTTCCAATGCCAATATATCTTGTTTGACATGAGGCAACCACATCTGTATGCAGTATTCAAGATGTGGGTGTACCATGGTTTTATATAGAGGCAATAAGATATTCTCTCTCTTAGTCTCAATCCCTTTTTTTAATGATTCCTAACATTCTATTTGGGGAGAGTGATAACTCAGTGGTTCGAGCATTGGCCTGCTAAACCCAGGGTTGTGAGTTCAGTCCTTGAAGGGGCCATTTAGAGATCTGAGGCAAAATCTGCCAGAGATGGTACTTGGTTCTGCTGTGAGGGCAGGGGACTGGACTTGATGACCTCTCAAGGTCCCTTCTCTCTCATAGAGCTGGGTATATCTCCATATATTTTTTTTGACTGCCACTGCACACTTGAGTGGATGTTTTCAGAGAACTATCCCCAATGACTCCCAAGATCTCGCTTTTGAGTAGCTGAAGCTAAATTAGTCCCCATCACATTGTATGTATAGTTTGGATTATTTTTCCCAATGTGCATTACTTTACATTTATCAATATTAAATTTCATTTGCCATTTTGTTGCCCAGTCACTTAGTTTGGTGAGATCTTTTTGAAGCTCTTCTCAGTCTGCTTTGGTCTTAATTATCTTGAGCAGTTTGGTATCATCTGCAAACTTTGCCACCTCACTGTTTACTCCTGTCTCTAGATCATTTATAAATAAATTGAATAGGATTGGTCCCAGGACAGACGCTTGGGAGACCCCACTAGTTACCTCTCTCCACTCTGAAAACTGACCATTTATTCCTACTCTTTGTTTCCTGTCTTAACCAATTATCAATCCACGGAAGAACCTTTCCTCTTATCCCACCTGTAAACTGCTAATACAGACAGACTCGCTACATTTACTTGTCTTCAGTTTTTAAAACCCTGTGGTGCTACATCACGTATCCTTCTGCTGTGAGTAGCTGCTCTGAATGGCTGAGAGAAGGAAGAGGCTGTATGTTACCATTTTTTATTGCACTGCTTTGACTAGACTCTTCAGTCCCCTTTTCCCTTAAGGGTCCCTGCACTGTGGTCACCTTTTGTCCTAACTTAGGCTGACCTTTCAGCAGCACTGCAGCCAACTTGAACTCAGTTTCTTTTATGAACATAGCAACGGCCAAGCCCTCGCAGTTGACCTTGAATCTGTGGCCATCTCAGCAATGGGGGAGGCATATGTGCAGTTGAAATTGGGCTCTTGTGCACCGCACCTAGCATAAAGGGGGGCTGGCCTTGATTCAGGCACTATTGCAATGCTAGTCAAACTGCGTATGGATAGTCTAGTAGCTGTTACATTGGCTATTTTGCTGATGGGGAACACACATCTGGCTCTTGGAGACCCACAGGCATGTAGCTTCTGCTCAGTAAAGGAAGGGCAGTCTCCATGCGCTCACGCAGTTTCATTCCCTCATCGCACCGAGATAATGAGTTTTGTAAAGCAGCATTTAATGAGAGCCTCTGCACGGAGAGGGGTGGGCTGCCTCTGTCCCCATGGAGACGGATGATAAATTACAGAGATACTGACCTTCCCTGGATCTCCAGCTTCACTAAAATAAATTCAATTTATTCTCTCTGGGCTCTCAAGGGAGCCTGAGCAGAGATGGGCATCTCTTGCCTGTCAGCGTGGTGCAGCAAGCAGCCCTTCTGTTTACAGGCAAAAGGGGCTGTTTGTGCATAGGGGAGATTTGCATTGCTGAACTGTGATCAAAGAAATGGGCGATTACAGTGTCTGCATAGGAAACAGGAAGGTCCCTTGAATCAGTGTCCTGAAATCTATTGGCTGCCAAGAGATGCCATGGAACAGACTGAGTGAGAGAAGGGAGGCGTATCTACATTCATCTCATTTAACTGTCTCTGTGCAACCACTGCATGCTCCAAAATTAACCCATCAGTACACCGGAATTCTCCATTCCTCATGGAGGCATCTTAGGGCAAACTGGGAGGGCACTGAAGAGCTGCAACATGGTTCCCAAGTGCCAGCTGCTGGAAGAAATCTTGGGTATCAACTTGGTAGAGATAAGTTGTATAAACCAATCAAAACCCATAGAACAGGCATCGGCAACCTTTCAGAAGTGGTGTGCCAAGATTTAACTTACTCATTTCTATTTACGGATCTGCGTGCTGGGGCAGGCTGAGTACAGTGACCATATTTTCTGAACCAGCTACAGCTAGGGAGAATGGTTTAATTTCAATTAATTAAATAGATTAAGCGTTTTAGCTTTCTCATGTTAGTTTATCAAACTTCATTTTAAATAAAGTAAAATATTAATTTATGTACAATAAAAAAGATATCGTTTTAGGGTTTTTTATGGCAGGGGTGGGGAACCTTTTTTGGGGTCAGGAGCCACTGACCCACAAAAATATCACAGTTAGGGACCACACAAGTGAGAAACAAAAAACTCCTCTAAAAACCCCCAACCCTCACTGATGTGGCCTCCAGCTGAAATAACTCACTCCTCTGGCATTCTAGCTTCATTTTGATTGTATCCCTTTGGTATATATGGTTGTGCCAATTTTCTTCCACAATTTGATCTGAGGAAGTGGGTCTGGCCCACGAAAGCTCATCACCTAATAAACCATCTTGTTAGTCTTTAAAGTGCTACATAGTCCTGTATTTTGTTTTAGCTTCATGGGGTGAAGGGAAGGGATACGGAGGACTGAGGTTTAGAGTTTCCCACAGGTCAGATTTACTTTTTTTTGGAGTTCCGAAGTTAGTTGATTTTATGGACCCCCTTACGCTATGGGGTAGGGACACAAATGAGGGGTTCAGTGTGAGTCAGAGCTGCCAGTGAATGGGATAGGGATGAGATGCAGGATCTCAGAGGGAGGCGGGGTGCATAAGGAGAAGAGGTTGCGAGGTCTGGGTGGGAAGTAGGGTGCAGAAACAGGCTGAGAGGAGGAGCAACAGTGATGCAGGAGCAGGGTGGGGGTAAGGCGTCTGGCCAGGAGGGAGAGTGCAGGAGCAATGGAGGGTGTCTGAGCATGCTGGGAGTCTAGGGTCTTGGTGGGGGGAGGGCAGTGAGTGAGAGGAATTGGGTGTGGTGGGGGTCTGGCCATGAGGAGGGATACTTACCTGGCTTCACACCCTCTTGCAGTGGGGAAAGCTTCTACACAGCATGCTGCCATTCACCCGATGGGGTGGGGAGGGAACTCAGCGCCCCCCCCCCCCCAATAAGGCTGCAGCACTAGCTCTGGCTTCCCACTCGGACATGCGAGGGAAGGGGGGGGGGGTGAAGAAAGCCCTGACCTTCCCCGCCAGACCCAGCAGCTCCATGACTGCTGCTCCCCTAGTGGGGTGGGAGTGAGGAGGATCTATCAAGCCCAAGCATGCCCCACACAGCCCTGCCCAGGGATGAAGCAGCAGTTCCAAGGCACCAAGGTCCGGGGGAGGCTCTGCCGGGTTTTGCCTCAGACCCAGCTGTGTTCCCCCCCCACCCCTGCAGTGGTGGCAACTGCTGTAACAAAAAGAGGCTGCCTGGAGGAGGCATAGGCACGGCTGGGCAGGGGCCGTGTGGCAGAAGCGGCACGGCTGGGGGCAGGAGAGGGTGCTGGGGCA